ATTTTGGTCATTTTAAACTCACCTTCACCATACGAAATAACGTATTTGGACCGTTTTGTCATTTTTACCATTCAAGTCAACTTTTGTCATTTTGGTCATTTCAATCAGTCAAAACAGTTGGAAGTCGGAAAATATATTGCTATTTTTTTGCATTTAGCCCAACTATGGGCTAAATATAATAAATAAAACATACTTTATTATTTATTTATTTATTTATTAAACCATGGTACTTAATAAAACGGATATAAAAAGCTAGCCAAGGCACCAGAAGTGACAGCATTCATATACAACCCAAAACGGTACCAAGGGTAGAAAGGTCAATGTTTGCCACTAGGCTTGAAAGCACCAGCAAAGCAATGACGGATATTGAAATATTTTATTGTATGCCATCTTTTTTAAATGCAAGAAATAACAACTTACTTTCATATATTTGTTTATATATTATTCTACTCTCATTTCTTCATGTGACAATATTATACTTTAGAAAGTGTAATTTTGTAATAGATAGAAATGATTTGTTCAAGTAATATTTTAGAATATGATAAGTTTCTTTGGTTCTTTAAACAAGTTTTCGGGTTTACTTTTTAAGGACGGCTCCAAAGCAATATGTTCGCCTTATATATTTCTCATTAACGCCTTCAGTACTATTTTGTTATTTAGTATGTTTTTAGTAAAAAAAATTGCATTGCTAATATGTCTTCCTGTTATAAAGCAAAATGCAATTTTATTTTTCTTGTTAAGATACCTACCAAGTACATTGAGATATCTTCCTAGGATATATCTATTAATCACATTATGAATGATCAACTTTTTAACTTGCTACATTAATACTGTCTTGATTGAGAAAGTTAGAACTTGATTGCAATGTAAGAAATAACAACGTATTTTAATTTTACATCATTATAATTTCACTATTTTCCTATTAAGGAATTATACTTTAACAAATATTCAATTTAAAACTTTACCTATATAAAATTTTCAAAGTATGTTGTTATTTTTCCATTCAGTTCATAATAAAAATGATAGGTGGTTTGAAATGCTGGTATTGCTTCTTGATTATTTTAGCATAAGTCAACGCTTTGAGCTTCTTCCTTAGTTGCTTCATACTTATATGAGAACAAATTAAAGAATGATGTTATAGAAAAAATAAAATCAATGTATTGTTTTTAGTTTAAGGCTTATTCGCAGTGGTGATTCTTCAACGAGATTACTTATATACCTTGCATGAAGTTAACTCTATTTTCAACAGAGGCAATCCCCATAGTTGTTTGTTTTGCTATGACCATTAACAAAAATCAAGAACAATCATTATCAAATGTTGGATTATACTTGCGTAGACTCATCTTCAATAATGGTCAATTATATGTCGTTATTTCTCGCGTCATAAGTTATAAAGGCTTGAGGTACTCATATGTGATGAGGAAGACCGCCCAACTAATAAAACAAAAAATGTAGTTTACAAAGAGGTCCATCAACAATTATAGATATTCAAGCATTCATTGTACTTTGTTAGATATTTCATTGTTACCAATAACGCAAACTGTGTTTTCGTTACATTATCTTTTTTCTTTTATTGTTCCAATATTTTATACTTGTATATTTCATTGTACTTTTATTGGTCCATTAAATGTATTTTATATATGAATACACCACCTCTCTCCGCCACCAACATTTATATTTATATTCATATATGAATACTACTCATCCTCCGTCGGCTGGTACGCCGAAACATTTTGCGGCAAAAATAAATGATCGGTTGAGAATGATTCCCCAATTGTCAACATTTTTTATTTTCTCAATTGAACTTATATATATATATATATATATATATATATATATATATATATATATATATATATATTGCTTATTGCATACCCTAATTAAAAGTTTTGTCGTGATATTATTTTCCTAACGTAATTATCTATGTTTAGACCATACGGTATACAAGCCACGCACCGGTCCGTGGTTGAGGTGGCAACGGACCACGACCATGCACACTAGGCCGACCGGTCGTGGTTGCTCGATTTCGTGGTGATTCGTGGTGGCCATCACGATTCTAAACGGCCAATGAAATTGTTGTTTGATCGATTGTGAGTAACGGCTCAATATTAAATATGTAACGTTCATACTTTTTTTTAAAAAAAATTTACCTTTCAAATACGATTAAACATCTTCTATAAATACCACAATGTTTCTTTCATTTTACTCACATAATTCCTCTCTCATTTTATTCACAATCAAACACTTGTTTTGCTTGATAATTCAAAACCAATGGCTCCTAAAATGATGAATTGATCAGAAAATAAAGAAGAGAACTTAGCACTAACATGGGTGGCGGCTTCAAAAGAGAACTTATCACTAGCATGGGTGACGGCTTCAGAAGACCCAGATGCTATAATGCCTCCTAATTTTTTGGTAAAAGTTGGAAACGTTTTCCATGATTTAACGGGTTGCCGAAATCGTATATGTTCGAAGTTTCGTGATATGAGGGTTAAATGCCTTGAGTTTGATGAAATTTATAATTTTGTTATAAACAACGTACACGAAGGCGAGCCGTTTGTTGTGGTCATGCACCAATATGAAGACACGAAACACATACCGTTTAAACACGTCAAAACTTGACGAAAATTGAAGGAGTGCCCAAAATTCAGTCATTAAAAATAATAAGGTTTAAAACTAGTTTAAGTTGTTTGTGGTTGCATTTTTATGGTTTTTTGTTGTGTGTTTTTAATTAATGTAATGTTTGTTTAAAAAATATATTGTTTTATTGTGTTTTTTTTCAATGTAATGTGGTGCTTTAATCTAATGAAAAACTAGTATTTAAAAAAAATATGATTTTAATGTATTTTGAATTAAATTTAATTAAAAAATGAGGTGGAGTTGTGTGTTTAATGGTAGATATCCTATGTTAGTGGTATAGAGTGTGGTACCTATTATAATGGTTAGTGGTATGTATATAATGGATGACTTTATATATCAAGTATTATCCAAATTTTGCTCTATGTTTAGTAGGCCTTTAAGGCTTGAATTACTAGGTTGTGTATGACTTCTTTGAGAAATTTTGAATTAAATTGATTTTTGTTTTAAAAAAATATGATCAAAATATGCAATTATTTCTAGTATTTGCTCATAAATAAAACCTACAAAACTAATAATCATAAATCATTGACTTGGATCTTAAATTTCAAAAGCAGATTACAGATAATGGAAGTCAATCGTCAACGACAATAGCACATACGTTGGAATTATATGGTCAAAGAAAGCACTGAAATTTCACAGTGGATAGCTTTATTCCATCTTGGACATTATATGTGGCACGTCTTATTATATTGGTACGAATACTATAATATAAAATGCATAATTTAACAATTTTAATATACAAAAAACATAGGAATATTAATAAACATATAATTATTTATTATTCAGTTAATAAAATAGTTATTAAAATATATATTTATAATAATAATAAAAAATTCATAGTTAAATAAATCTTTGGCAATAGATATATTAATAATGATAAAGCCAACAAAAAATAAAGGAGTTTGACTTCCCCATTTGCATGTCAATTGTGTTGGTAAAAATGAAAATAATCCTATGTGTTAATAGTTAGAATTTTGTTTATTTTTTCTTCAATTATATTTGACTATTTGACTTATATATGTAACGATCTTTTATGTCTATATACCAAACGAGCTAAAACATAAAACTTTCTTATTCTTATTAAAATCTTGTTATGAATTAATACATACTAGAATGAACTAATAATTCCCTTGTTACCTCACCATATCAAAAAATGTAAAATTATCTTTTTTATTACAACTCTATTAAGACAAATACATTTCAAATTGTAGAAGTAAAGTATGTGAAGCACAAAATACAAAACATAGAAGCAAAAAAGTAAATATTGAAACACTCATTATTTTCTTTTGTCGAAAAATGATAAACCTAAAACAGGAAAAAAAAAAAAAAAAAAAAAACTTATTCTTCTTTCTTCAATTGGTTTAAAATGAGCATTAAAGCGTTCAAAACCAACGAAATAATGGCATTACTGAAAATTTCATTCCAGATTGGCAATGAAAACCGTTGCTTTCTCCACAAGCAAAATAATAGGGCTTCCATTTGTTTAACACGAACTCAAACCCTTCTCCTCCACCTTGTGATGTGTTTGCCACAAGTTTTGCCCATTTTAGATCACACTTCAAAAAACTCCATAAATTTGGTAGCAAATAAATGCTATGTGGATGTAAATTGGTAGTGCTAGGTGGATCAAATTTAAACACTGCAATACCATAATTTTCAACGTTAAATCATGATATGTATTTGATCAATAACATTTGTAAAGATTTTCGTTGAACAAAATATATCATGTTATTTAAATGAAAAAGACTTGGAAACTACATGCATGGTGTCTCATGCATGTCTTCATGCATGATACATACCTAGAGTGTCGTTGAAGAAGAATGGTGCGTTTGTGCGAGCCCATTCAGTGTAATTAAAGCCAAAACGCCAATTATCAGATCCACCAACAATGATTCTTCTAGAGCTATGAAAAGGGTTCTTATGTCTAAATGGCTCGTTTGTATTGTTGAAGTTGAAGTTCCAATTTTGGGGACCTTTTTGGAAATTCGCATTGCTTGATGCAACTGTGAATATTGCCGAAATTACGGCTATTAGAAGAAGGGAATGTGTGTACGTCAAAGCCATTTTACTCAAAGTTTTCTCTAATAGATGGAAAGAGACTTGAAAGTAATGAATTTGGTTAAGGTGGTGATTTATAAAGTTTGGAGAAAATGTGTTTATATAGAGATTAATGAGGCTAACAATTGAAGTAAGAAATGGAATTGAGCCTAAGTTTGTTTAGTTGGGTTGGTGTAATGTTGAAAATTTGTGGATTTTTAAGTTTTTGTGTTCTCATTTGCGTGCAGAAAAATTTCAACATATGGAAGTGGATTATGTCCAAAATAGAAACATTTTCAACAATTTGACCCATTATATCCTAAACGAAAACATTTCCCTACCAATTTAATTTATTGGTGAACTTTAAGTAAATTACGATGGAATTAGTTGTTATTTTTACAATTAACTTGCTAAAATGCATTTTAAAAATTTTAGTTGGATCATTTAACGTCGTAACCTACAATTTATAAATTTCAATCTAAAATCAAGTTTTATTAAGAGTTTTTTTTTTTTTTAATTATTTGAAAAAATGCATGAAAGACAATCTATATGGAAAAACAAAAATGACCTTATACGATAATGGTCATTTTCTAGCTATTTCCGTTGATCCAAATAATTAATTAAGAGTATAAACGAACCAAATATTTAGCAGACCGTTTAGCAGGAAGTTCGTTTATATAATAATGAACGAACATGAATACAAATTATTGTTTGTTTAGTTAAACGAACAAAATTGAACAATATTTTCATTTGTTCATTTATATTTATGAACGATTGTTTATGTTGTTCGTTTACGTTCGCTCATTTAAGTTCATTTATTTTCATATATGTTTAATTGTTTTTGGTCATATTACTATATTAATTTATGTTTGTGTATGCTCATATATATATTCAATTGTGTTTTTATCTCCTTTCGTTTATGTTTGTCCCTTTAACATGTTCAAACGAACATTAATAATGTAATTTGTTAAACGAATGAATATAAACATTAAAACTCATTTGTTTATTTGTTCTTGTTTATTTGTTTGTTCGACTAACTTTAAATAAATGAAAATGACTAAATGAGCAAGCCGTTTTCATTGGGTTTATTTACATAGGGTCAAAGGGACTACTTTGTAGCAATTTGGGCTGGTTTTACAATTATACGAAAATGTGATGTGACTTTTGCAATTATCTGAATCCATGGGCAGTTTTTGTAAATAGATTAAATTTGAATGTAATTTGTGTCTTTTGTAGATTCTGGAAAGAGCTTAAAAATTTCAAAGAAAGTCTCACTCACACACTCCGTTTCCACCCTCATTCCACCACCGCCATTTCTCCGGCAACCACCTACGCTACCACCGGTGAGACATCAGTCATGGCCCCTGCAAAGCCCAGCATTCGGTCGATCTCGCAACAAGCATTCGATGAAATGGTTAAAGAAAACATAGACGATCTAGGTATGGAGCCAACGGAAGCCCTAAGCGACGCCATCGAAACCCTTACTCTTCAAGGCGTAGATCTCTCTGGTATCGTCACCTCTACACTCCCCGGAGAAACCAATCCGGTGATTCAATCACTTGACAGAATCAAACAATTACAGAGTTCGGATTGGACAGACAAAGCAGTCTTAGACGAGGCGCGATGTTTGTTAGATCATTTGACGGAATTGTCCCGTGTTGAGGGATCTGGAAATGCTGCGATTGCTACGAGAAACGGAGGTGTAGAATTGATGTGCTCTGTTTGTTCGAAGCTTCGCGATATTGGCCGTGATTCTGCACTTGTATCGGCTTTGAATGCATTGGCTGCATTTCTCCATGGTATGAATGGCTAACTCTATGATTTTACTTAATTGTTCAATGTAGTACTGGAGTTCTATCGATCTCTCGTTTGATTGATCCGATGTGTGTGATATCTTTTGCCAATTGTGACATTGATTAGTGTTATGGAGCATGAATTCAAATGCTTAAACTATGAATAAGTGAATGCTTATGCAGTTCTAATCCTTCATGATTGTGGCTCAGATTCACTCACAGGATTACGTATTCAATACTAAGTTTCTTCTTTGTAACCTTTCACCTTTAAGATCTTTACACTGAGAGTCATAAGATCATGAATACAATCTTTCAATGCAGATCTTCAAAGTACAGAAACTTTCAGGCAAAGTGGAGGACCAAAAATCGTGATTGGTATCCTAACTGATGAAACTCAAAATGTAAACATCTTGAACAGTGCCTTCTCTGTTGTTGCTGCTTCTGCAACTGGTAATGAGGTTCTCAAGGAAGCATATGTCGAATTACACATAGATGAGTTAATAGTTAAAATCATGAAGAACCATAAAAAAGGAAGCATCTCAAGTTTATATGATGCCATTCGAGTACTCTTAGCAGCTGATGATACCCGTGTAATCGCCTCACAAGTAAGTAACATACAAAAACACATAAACACTTCATTCTAAATGTTCTTGAAACATTAAATAAATCATGCATCCCCAATTAGGTTTATGGGTATGCTCGAAAATTTGCTAAATTTGGAATTGCTGAAGCTCTTGCTGAGTCACTTGATGATGAACTTAACTTATCAAGCCTGGTTTCAATAACAATTGCACTAAAAGCCATTGCAGTGAATGTAAGTACTAAACTTATCAATTATCAATTATCATATCCCATTAAAATTTATCTTCTATTCTTCTCCTTTTCTTGATCTTTCTGGGATACTTTCAGGATGAAATATGCAGATCAGTTGCTGAAAAAGGTGTTATAGATTCACTACTCAATACTATCGATGAATCTGGCATACAAGGAAACAAAACTGTAGCCAAATCTTGCTGTTCTTTGTTATCAAAGGTTTAATCTTTTTATAAATTTTTAATTTTTATACTATTTCCCAAAAAGGGTATTGAGAATCTTGAGATATTTTCTTTTGGTAGTTGGCAGGAAGTGACTTTAATAAGAGTGCTATAATTGAAAGGGGAGGTTTGAATAGACTCATCACACTTTCCAACAGACTTCATGAGGATCCTTCAGTCATCCAAGAGGTGATGACCATCATAAGCACCCTGTGCCTGCGATCACCTGATCATGCAGCCATGGCCATGGAAGCTGGAGCAGGAGAGCTTGCAATTCAAGCTATGAAGAAGTTTCCTGAAGCATCTCAGTTGCAGAAATATTCATGTCTCATGATTCGTAATCTTGTTGCTAGGAATACAGAAAACAGGTGGATATTTTTAACTTTTACTCAAAATATGGAAATTATATCTTTTGTTTTTTTATAAACTTTTTTTTTTGTTTGGAATTTGGATAGGTCTATTTTGTTGAATAATGCTATTGAGAAGATGATAAGGAATGCGAAAGAAAGCCATAAAAGTTGTAGAGAAGCTGGGACTGATGCACTTAGAGACTTGGGGGTTGAAAACTATAATTCATAGCTATTGTTGCCTTAAAAAAATGTTATCTTTTTATGATATATGATTTTGTTTTTAGACTTTATAAAAATTGTTATGTAAGAGATGGGTAAGTTTTTTACCTTTCTTTATATGAAAAATGTTTTTTTTTACTTGGCTATGAACCGTGGTAGAAGAAAAGTATAACCACAAGGGCAAATATGTCATTTTGTAGACGGAGGTTCCTTTGATCCAAATCATTTATATGTAACTTTGAAAAATCTTATAGGATGTAAGAACATGGGTGATCGTGTAACTATAGTCATTACTATTTATCAGTCTAGTTGACCGATTAATTGGCTCCTAGATGGTTAGATGCTAGGTGGGTTTGGTCAAGTTCAAAGCAATGTTTTAAAAACCGGTTTGAACCGGCCGGTTGAACTGGTTGGACCGGGAACCGGAGGAAAGAGCGGTTCAACTATCATCGGTTTTATGTCGATTTCTGAACCGGATTGAACTGGCCGGTTTTTTAGAAAAACCCGGTTGGACCGGTCAAAATAAACCGGTTGAACCGAATAAAAACACATGGGAAAGAATCATTTTCATAATAAACTTTGGTGATTTTTTTTTTCAAATCTATTTAGTTTTCTCTAAATAAAAACATATGCTAAATGTTATAAAGTTTTTTGATGTGTTTGTACTCATTTAAAACTATACTTTGTGTCAGTATTATATTTTATTTCTTTTTGACGTATATGGATTGATGTAAAACACTAAAACTTATGGTTATGTGTTAATTGTTATTTTAATGTATTTGAATTGATTTATAACTTATATATATATATATATATATATATATATATATAATATTTGAAGTAGTAAACATCAAATTCATGATTTATATATGTATAGGAAAATAGGAAAAAATATGAAAATTATAGAAATCGGTTGACCCAGCGGTCGAACCGGTTGAACCGGGAACCGGTCACCATACCGGTTCAACTAAAAAAACGGTTTTTAAAACATTGGGTCAAAGTTAGTCAATATCGGTCAAAGCTAGTCAATAATCGGTCTTGGTGCTCATTAATTGGTCAAAATGAGCAAACTAGTTAACAAGGGTGTTATTAATAAGACACCTTTTAGACATCATATTGACATTTTTATAAAATGTCAAATTATAGTCAACTACTTATTATCAGTTTTTTTGAAAAACAATATAATTCAACCAATAAAAATATTTCAAAAATTAATTAGGGTGTTTATATGATTAAATGGGGTTTGGTAGTCATTAATCGGGCTTGATGGTAATTAATTGGTCAAAATTAGCAAAATAGTCGAACTATTTATTTTTTAAATAATTTTTTTTATAACTTAGGGTCTCCAATTAATCTCAGGTTAATCATAGGCCGATTAATCTCTTGACCCAGTCGAACGACTAGTTACTGTCTAGTGATTTTTACAATCTTGGTATTTATCTAGGTTGGCTAATGTTGAGTTTCTAAAATCTTTGAAGTCATGGTTATATAAATGTAAATAATTTTATTTATTTTTTTATAATACAAATGTAGGGCTAGAGGTTGAATTTAAGGTGGATGATTATCTTGTTTGAATGGTTGTGATGAGGTTTTATTTATTGGTGATCTCAGTTTCCTACTTGATTATAAATTTGTATCCTAAATTTGCTTTCGTTTCCTTGGGTATCCTGGTTAGTAAATAATCACCGGTTTCGTGGGTATACATTTGGGCATCGAGTATCCCAATTTGTTATCTTAATTGACTAAAATTTACATGGTGGAATTTTCATGACCTAAAATCCTTTCACAATCTCATCTAAAAAATTACTTGAATTTTTGTAATAGTTACAATTTACAACAATATTAACAAGTTTAATAATTTGAACTTTTTGGTTCTTGCTTGAATGCTCGTGCCAACAACTCAACATACTGTCGACTTGGATATTGGAGAACCAGAAACCTCATGAGTTTGAGGCTCTCAACTATGTGGTTTTAATTTTGAATAAGTATTTTGTATTGTGGAATAGGATGTAAGTAGTATATACTAATATACATAACAAACTTTTTATTTCTAATCACCTATAATATTATAAATTTGAAATTATATATATTAATATAAAATTATAAGGATCATAAAATTTAAATGGTTTAGATCTAGTAATCGGACATATAAAATCAAAATATCATAATCATCTCAAACCTATAGAATAAACACATATGCGGTCCAAAACCCATCCCAAAGGTTTCGAGATTGGTTTTTCCATTCGGGTTTGAGTCTATTCTTCATCCCTATTTCTTTGGTTTATTATACGAGATCCAAGTACCTTAAACTTCGCTTAATTAAGACTCAATAGTCTTATAGATTGATGCACATTCAAGGTAGTTTTGGGATGATAGTGCCATGTTATGTGGGAAATTATATAAATGTTGGTTCATGTGAACGTATTAATTCTCACTTTCATATGTTTCGTTTGTTTTTTATGACCAATCTACTCTAATAAATGAAAATCTTTTTGCCACATGTGTAACATCCCAAAATTCAAGGCTGAAAATTTCATTTTTAAATAAGTTATTATAAAACCCTTAGTAATAAAACATCCATAATACATCTCATGTCAAAAACCAAAGTATAAATAATCAAAACATGTTATCATAAAACAATATCAGAGTGTAATCTCCAAGATCTCATGTGCGGAAATATAGTGTGATGCGCTGCGATCGAGCCGGCTCCTTTCCTTTGAAAACGAAATACCTGAAACCAAAACTAAAAACTGTAAGCACAAAGCTTAGTGAGTTCCCCCAGCATACCACATACCACAAAACATACATACTGTCGGGCAATTCTAGAGTGCCCGACCTACCCATGTCAAGCAGTTATGGGGTGCTGACCAACCCATGTCAAGCAGTTCTGGGGTGCTGACCAACCCATGTCAAGCAATTCTGGAGTGCTGACCTACCCTCCGGTTTATCCCAACCGGCTCCGGGGACTATTTCACCCCCTACTACTACCACATAAAATATAGCATAAACATACTGTCAGGCATATCTGGGGTGCCCGACCTACCCTTCGGTCCTAACGACCGAACTTGGGGACTATTCCCCTCTTACTACCATTATCACATATAACATATCATAAACATACTGCTATGCATGCATGGGTTCTGACGACCCCTTCGGTATCTGCCAACCAGTATCTGGGGCCTATTTCACCCCTACTACTACTAACATGTATCGCAAAGCATCCTAGCACACAAACATAACAGATAATGGCATACCAGATAATTATCACAATGACAATCATCTAACAAACAACTCCTACTAGTCGGCCGGTATTGTGGCTGTAGACCCACTTCTACTGGAAGGTAACTCACCTGTCACTGCTGAAGTCCCGCAGACCCAACCCCAGCTGCTGGATGACAGGTTCCCGAACTGTCAACATCAAAACAACACCCAATTAATAATTGGGTTCTAATACATAACCATAAGTCTATGCTTGGGGTAAAAGACTACTTTACCCCAATCTTAGCTTGAGCCAAGCCTAAGGCCCAATCCAAAGGCCCAAAAGTCAACTATGGGTCAAAGCCCAACACATGGCCCAATTTTCCAAATTGGGCCCAAACCTTTATAAGGTCTTACCATAAGGCCCAACCATTTAGTCCAGTCCAACATTCAACATTCTAATTGTAACATACACGTTCAGTTATCGTGTATTGTAAATTATAAAAGTGAATAATATTATGAAATATTATATGAAATTGAGTGTTGAGTTCTAACAGATAGTTTTTTTACTAGAAATGAAGTAAAAGTATGTTTAGAATCACTCAGAAAATATTGGAAGTCTTATGAGATTCCAATTAAAAGCCAAATAGTGAAATTTA